CCCCCCCCAATCCATGTACATTTGGGGGGAGGGGCTTATTTTTGGGGGGTACCCCCTTTATTTTTGGGGGTCCTCCTTATTTTTGAGGGTCACCCCTTTAGTTTTGGGGTCTCCCCCCTTTATTTTTGAGGGTCCCCCCTTATTTTGGGGGGATCCCCTTTATTTTTGGGGTCCCCCCCTTATTTTTGAGTGTCCCTCCCTTATTTTTGGGGTCTCCCCCTTATTTTTGGGGGGTCACCCCTTTATTTTTTATTTTTATAAAAATTGTTTATATTTTTATAAATTTATTTTATTTTATTTTTGGGGGTCCCCCCTTATTTTTGAGGGTCACCTCCTTATTTTTTGGGGTCCCCCCTTATTTTTGAGGGTCCCTCCCTTATTTTTGGGCGTCCCCCTTATTTTTGGGGTCCCCCCCTTATTTTGAGGGTCACCCCCTTATTTTTGGGGGTCACCCCCCCTTTTTTTTTGGCCAGCGATGCCCAAGAGCATTTACGGGGCCATTCCTCCTCCCCTTGCTTTTTCCCCATTTTCCTCCGGCCCAAATCCACGCGGCCGGTGAAGCCGCTGATGCCGGACCAAGCCGGAGCGGCCGCGGAAGCTCTTCCCGCCGGCGGGACAGGGATACGGCTTCTCCCCCGCACGGATCCGACGATGCTGACTGAGATTGGAATTTTATCCGAACCTTTTCCCGCAAGCCGGGCACTCGTAGGGTCGTTCCCCCGTGCGGAGCCGCTGATGGATGTCGAGGACGGAACGGGCCCGGAATCCTTTCCCGCATTCCCCGCACCCAAAGGGTTTTTCTCCCGTGTGGAATCCTTGATATCACACCAAGCTGGAGCTCACCCGGAAACGTTTTCCGCACTCGGAACGCGTACACGGGGTCTCGCCGGCGTGGGATCGCCTATGGATAAGGAGATTGGAGCTTTGGATGAAGCTTTTCCCGCATTCCGGACATTCGTCGGGTTTTTCCCCCCTCGGTGGCGGATGAGTTGGGATCATTCCTTAAAAGCTTTCCCGCAAAACGAGCAGGAAAAAGGTTTTTTTCCCCCCATGTAGGTTCGGTGATGCTGGATGAGATCCGAGCTCTGCCCGAAGCTTTTCCCGCATTCCCGGCATTCATTCCCAGGGGTTTTTCTCCACGATGGATACGTTGATGACGGAAAAGATTGGAGCGAGCGCTGAAACATTTCCCGCATTCAGAACAAAGATAGGGAATATCATCCGTGTGGCTCCAGGAATGCGGGATACCATCAGCCTTCAAGCTTTTCCCGTACGGAATCTCCATTCCGTGCAGGCGCTGATGCCGGAGGAGGTTGGATCGGCGGCTGAAGCGCTTCTGGCATTTGGGACAACGATGAGGTTTTTCACCCCGGTGGGTTTTTTGATGGGAATTCAGGTGGGAATTCCAGGTAAATGTTTTCCCACATTCCAGATAGGGATAAAGACGCTCTCCGGAGTGGATGCGTTGGTGGCAGAGGAGGTAGGTGCTGTGGCGGAAGCTTTTCCCACATTCGGTGCATAAAAATCTCCCCTTATCCCTCGGGATCGGGCCCCCCAGGGAGCCGAACCCCTCTCCGGGGAGACGGGGATGAGGCGAAGCCATTCCCGGGGGATTTTCCTGATGGTTCGGCGAGGTTGTGCTCATCCCGGTGCAGGCTGGTCCTTCGCCTGGTGGGACATTGGGGATGAGGGTGGGGAGGGATGGGGGGGGATTTGGGAAAGGAAGGGGGGGATTTGGGGAAGGATAGGAGGGATTTGGGGAAGAATGGGAGGGATTTGGGGAAGGATGGGGGGATTTGTGCAGGA